GTTAAAAAGGATGGACGTATGTTAAGCCTTTATAGAAGGACACGCACTAGTTAAAAAGAAAACCTAACGCTTACAACAGAAAAAACATAACAGCAAGGACGCTAACTAGGAGAGAAGCCTATGTGTTACAGCTAATAAACAGACTGTAATAACTTAGCTTGCTATAGCACACAGCCCTAAGCATAACAGATAGAAGACAGTTAACTTTATAATTAGTAGACCTTATAACTAAATAGAAAAGAAATAGCGCTATCTTATAGATAAATGCTTAGCAGAATGCGTTATCTAATAAGGGACTACAGGCTTGCGCGCAAGTAGGCTACAAAGAAAAACAGCATGCAGACATGCTAGCATGCAACTACTATGTATATAGTCTTAATCCTAACTATAGTTAGAAAGTTGTAATTAATGTTTAGTTTATTCTTTATAAATAGACTAAGAAGCTTAAATCCTTTCTAAAGAGAATTAAGCTGCCTTATATATCTTGCAATATATATACCTCTAACCTTTATCTACCTAACTAGTAAAACCTAGCTACTTATACAGCTATAGGGACAAACCACAGCCTACCTCCCTAAACCCTGACTATCCCTCACTCTGCTCGACAGACTGTACACCTGATCCAGCTAAGTTCTCATCCCTTCTCCACTAATACCCATATAGGCCGTTGTACTCCGGAAAGCACCATTTTCCTGGAGTAAGGATTGTAACAATAGTTTCTAGAGATTAAAATAATTAAAAATAAAAAGGCTAAAATAATCTAGCTAGTACATAATATATATATTAAAAAAGTAGTAAAGAAGTTTAACTTTATAAAAAGTACACTCTTTCTAAGGACTTTTTTACTATTAAAAAAGCTTATAAGTAACTAGAGATTAGCAATAAAGCATAAAATTAAGAAATACTAAAAGCGCGTAAAATTAACACTCTACACTATAATTATAGTGCGCATTAACATAGCGTTTACAGCATCCTAGCTCTTCTACTACCTAATAAACCTAGAAAAGCAGCACTTCTAGGCAGTAAACTAAGCAATTGTGTACCTATATTACATAAGGCATATAGGTATATAATATAAAGCACTAGAAGGCGTGTAACTTATTATATATAAAAATATGTCTTTTGCTAATTATATAAAAACTAAATAATTATCTTATAAATATATTATTTTACTTTTTAAAAAACTAATTTTATAGAAAGCAGCTTTTTAGCTAATAGTAACTATGTCTATAATAAAGGCTAAGCTACTTACTCTAGCGCACATTATAAAGAAATTACTAGCTTTAAAACACTTTTTTAAAAAGCTTACTCTAGAGCTAGGCACACTATAGCAGATCTACTATAATAACTAGCAGATAATTAGGTTAGTAGTAAAGAAGAACGCCTAGATAACCACCTGCCTGCACTACATTAATATATAGAACATGTAGCTGGGCTAGAAGCACACAAAAGAATCTTTTAAAGTGCGCTATATTAAAATAAGTAATATGCTAGCAGATAAGCTTATAAAGCACTTACTAAAGTAGTAATTTAAGCACTTTAAGTAGCTTTTTAACTTTAAAAACACATAAATAAGCTTCTAAAAAAAGAAAGCATTAATTATTAATAGTAGGGACATTTTTACACTGCCTAAAAACAAGAGGGCTATCTACTAGTAAAAACACTCCTCTATGCTATAAAGTTTAAGTAGGGATTTAGTACATAAGATGTGTAGAAACATAGAACGCCTAAACTATAAGAAGATTAACAAGCTCACCTAAGAGCTCCTTAGCGCGCTGGCGACGCGCTAGGAGCCTAGGGGACACGTTACCCTGCTCCTCCTCCCCCTCCTTCTCTTTTACCTCCTCTTTCTCTTCCTCTTCCTCTTCCTCCTTCTCCTTCTTCTCCTCTCCCTTCTTCTTCTTTACAACATTCTTTTTAAACAGAGCTTAAAGAACTAGCTAAAGCTAGAACACAGCCTATAGCCTGTTAGTCTAATCTAGGGTATAACACACAATCTCTGCAGAGAAGCTTACCTGCTTGTCCTCTGCAACAAGCGCTGCAATAAGGCGCTGCGTATACACAACAGTAATAGGGGGACTGCAAATAAGTTAAAAGCTAGATCACCCTACACACTACTACAGGGCTTACAGGGGCAGGCAGCTGTGCCTAGAGGAACAGCGCTAGCAGCGCAAACTGCTAGTGGCGGAATTATAGCACTCCCCACTAGAGCGCCCCGCGAGCGCACTCTTTATGCAGCCTAGACAGGACTGCGCGCGGAGCGCACCAGGGGGAGGCCGGCGGGGAGTCGAGGCCGGGCCGGGGAGTGGGCGCAGGGCGGCGGGGGGCAGCAGGCTTGCGGGCAGCGCGGCCCCGCAGGGCACGCGCGCGAGCGGCTTGTTTAGCTTTATTAAGCTTTATACACACATTAGTAGAGATTACAGACAAGTTTAAAGTTGTTCTTAGAGCTCTTAAAAGCATTAACTTACACGCAGCATGTTGTTAGGACTTATAGAAAAGAAGCTTAAGAAGCAGCAGAATTTATTTACCTCTGTTGCAGCAATTACAGCACGCACGTGACCTGCGCTGCCTAGGGAAACAATTATTACGCTGCCTAGGGCAACAAGCACAAACACAGAGTAAACACGCAGCGCTGCTCTAACAAGCTAAGTTAACGCTTAACGCAGGTAAGCTGCTGCGCAGCTCACCTGGGGGGTGTGTCGCGTATACTGAGAGCCTTGGCTGGGGCTCAGAGCCTGGGACTGGGGCTCGGAGCCTGGGACTGGGGGCTCAGAGCCTGGGACGCAGCTCAGGATCGGGAGATATTATGTTCCGAAGCTCGGTGTATATAAGGAGAGCCTTTAGCTCTCTTAGATAGCAGAGTCACTTCATCTGATCTTCTGAACAGCTACTGCCAGGCTATTTTATCCTCCACAATATTAAATATAGCTTATGCTCTAGGCTTTTAAATAAAATATAATACTTTTAAAGTAACATGCTATAGCTTTATATAAAGTTTTTTAAAAAATATTAAATAACTATTTATATACTTTTCTTTTTATTACACTTTTTATAGCTACTTAATATAAGTTATTTTACTTTTTTTAAAAAAGTAGATAAGTGCTAAGCTAAAAACTTTGTATATAACTAAATTACTTATATTATAAAAATAAAGTTTGTACTATGCTTTAAAGTAGCTTATAATGCTATAATTACTTTTAGTAATATTTAAAAAAGTTTTAAAGCCCTAAATTAGTTTCTTTTAACTTATAATAAGTTATAATAAGCCTTAATATAAAGTTATGCACTCTATTACTACTGCTACTTATATATAATAAGCTTAAGTAGTAATAAACTCTAAGTAATACTGTAAAACTTAAGTTATAATTAATACTTATAAAAATAAAAATTTAAAAGTATATAAATAGTTTACTAACTTTTATAGTTAAAGTGTTTAAAAAAGTGTTTAAAAAAGCAGTAATAACTACACATAAGCTAGTATTAGTATAATAAAAATTACTAAGCTTTAAGCAGCTAATAAAGTAGCTATATAACATAAATTACATAAAAAAGTTTAAAGCGCGTAGTAATAAAAAAAAGAAAAAAAGTAAGTGTAAGGTAAAGTAAATAAGCTATTCTAAAGGCGCTATAGACAGTGTAATTAGACTAGGCATAACGCATAAAGGTATAAGTAAGAAGTAGAAGTAGTATCTAAATAATATTTTAGGCTGTACTATACTATATAGTGCTAGAGTAGGTTGTTATAGGCTATAATACAGTTTGTTAGGGTGTAGTCTTAACAAAAGTAAGCAACTTAGGTGTGTAAGCAACTCGCCTGTAATGTACGTTAACTAATAACTATGTTTTCTAAATAAATTAATAACTTTAAGAAGGTTAGCTACCTTGTAAAGTTTTAACAAGAGCTTAATAAAATAAAGTATATATTATACTAGAAAACAAGTTAAACTTTTTCTTCTAGTAGAGAATTAATTTAAAAAAGTGTAAGGCTGCTAGTCCTTACAAAGGATAATGCACTGCGAGGCTAGAAGCGGCTTGTACTACTGTCCTTACGCGCGACGGGTATATATACTATTCTGTACACATTATTAACTGTTAGTTGATTGTTCTCATCTTTTAGTTGTATTAGCGCAGTGGTACAGAGCCCTGCTCTTATATAAAGCTGTTATAGACTTTAATTATTAAAAATTGCTACTCTTTAAGATACAGATTTGTTATAGTACATGCTACTTTTTTATTCTATACTTTTCTACATTTAGCTGTCTATTCTTTATCTATTTAAGTTAGTATAGACGTATCTAGCTAAGCTTAAATCTGCTTATAACAATACTAGAGGAATAGTATTCTACTATAATAACACAACGCGTAAAGGTCTATAATAATAGGATAAGATAGCTTGCTATTCTAGCTATTTAGCAAATCATCTGTAATTAGAATAAGCTTTAAAAGGATTAATAGGAATTTATAAACATCTATTTGCTAAAATAGCAGCGTTATGTTACGCTAAGTTAGTAAAATTCTATGCTATTGTTAAGCGGATTGCTCTTTCCGAACTGTAGCATTGTAGAAAGACTAGAATGCATTAGAGTTTTAAGCGCTACAATATAAAAACATTTTAGTATGTTGTAAGGATATTTAGACTTGCTAGTATATGTGACGCATCCCCTTCTAACCTAGATATCAACTATGCAAACCATACCACCACTTAAGAAACGTTGTATTTCAGACATCTGTCCTTGCTCCAACTTGAAACCCCTATTTGCTACTCAAGCAAGCCAAGCCACTACGCTGACTCTTCTTTACTGGGCCTCGAGCAACCTCTCATACTGTTTCGCCACTTCCTCACTTGCCCTAGCACACATCCTCTGCGTCGTCGCTGCCTCACTCAGCGCCAACCTCAACTCCTCAAACCCTGCACCCACCACCCCTGCTTTCCGAATTAAACCCACATCAATCGGCGCTCGCTGGGCTCCGACCTCTAGATTCTCGGCCAAATTCTCCTCCAACTTCAGATCCGCACTTGTCACCTGTGTATCATCTAAGTCACCCATCTGTCCTAACTCGCGATCCTTGAGCCCCATCATATGCCCATACATGAGCAATACAAAAACCGTCGGGACAACGAACGCAATCAGCACCGCGCGATTGCCCTGGCTCCCCTCGTTCAACTTTAATCCGGCCTTCCAGCTACTCCCGAGATATACCCCGAAGCCAACCACGAACAAGGTAATGCTCATCACCACAATCTCAAACGGGGCCTGAAGAATCATGTGCGCAACCATAGAGCTCTGCAATTCCCCCTTCATATTCGCTTCGTCCCAGCGCACACCGCTGGAAAGCCATAGTCTTAGATCCTTGGGCTCGGACGCACGACCGAAGGAAGATTGCTGCAGTCCTGAGAAAAATACGGCGAGAAGGGAGAGGATGAGGGACATGGTAAAGACGGCACGAGCGACGTAGTGCACATCTTCGAGGGAGGGGAGCTGGAGGGCGGTAAGGCCGGCTTGGGCGACGAGGGCGCCCTAATCAATCCATCAATATCAATAGTATATCTCTCCTGCTCAATCCACTCATTCCCTCTTTCCCCCTTTTGTACCCTCTTTGCACCTAAATTAAACAAACCCTCAAAAAGAGAGGCAGAAAGAGAGGACTCTGGATTGTAGAGATGAAAGAGAAGCTTACAATAATAGCAATCATACCACAAACACTTAGTTGGCTAACCCTCCAAGACTCGACCTGCGCATCGCTCCCCCGATTAATTAGCTCCTCCAACGCTTCCAGCTCTTTCACATCGATCATAAGCCAAGGTCGCCACCGAACACTCTTCCCGAATCGCCGTTCTGCGTACTCGCTCTTCACTCTGACTGTCGAAACCCTACCGGAGATGTACCGAAATGCGAGGAGGGCCCGCCCGGCCACACGCGCGGGGAAGCCGAGGAGTGAGAATAGTTCAACCATGCTCGCCATAGCAAGAGCGAGAAATGGCAATGGCAGGGCAGATATATACGATTTAAAGAAGATGCAACTCTCACTCTTGCGGGGATGCGGCGGCTGCTAAGGAAGGAATCTTTCAGCGCGTGGCGAAACGTCGCAGATAAGAACAGCTAATATTTGCAGTTGGAAATACTTAGTGAGGCTCTTAGGCGCTAAGTTCAGTACCATTCTTTTAAATTCCATCTCATTCGCGTTATGAATAATGGGGGCCGAAAGTTTTCTGAACAGTGGGGGTCGAGTTTTATGAATAGTGGGGGCTGAATGTTACCTGAGTAATACCTAGAGTGTTGAAAGTTATCTAAACGAGGTAGAAAGTTATCTTAACAGAGGTCGAAAGTTATATGAACAGGAGCAACATACTGAGCTGAAATAGGGTTCTTGTGTTACAAGGAAAAGTACTTTAGTACGAATCCGTAGCAAGTTAATTGGAAGTCCGAGGCTCTGTGATGGGCTGCCCAATCAACCATGGGCTTGGCGTCCTAACATATTGTATAAACCGTAGCTTCCCGGACCTTTAGTCCACAATACATTACTTCTTTCACAGCCCATGCCTCTGAAAGGTTACATTAACGTTCTGTTGGAGCAGGGAATTGCCATCCAGATTACTAGCAGAGTTAGACTAGCTCGCAATAGTCACCTCATGTCACGGTATCCTCCCCGGATCCCAGACATAACTGTATTAGACGCGTACTAGAGTATTATTAGTGCACGTCTAACATAAACACAACATAACATAGACATAAACTTAAGCATAAACTGCCTTAACACTAACTAAACCTAGAACAGGCTTAATTTATACTTAAAGTGCTTAGACTTCTAAGCTAAGTATTTAATTACTAATTTTTTTTTAAACCTTTCTATTTCTTACACAATGTCTTGTACCTACTATAATACCTTACGTAGTAATTAAACTAGACCTTTATAAAGCTTTATAACCTTACTTATGCATAATTATAACATTATGTTATATTAAAACTCTAGCTAAGAATAGCCTCTAAATTTAATCTAATAAGCTTAGTACTTGCATAACTCTAAGCTATTAAAGTAAGCTAAAAAGCCTTTTAAAAAGCGCTTATTTTATAAAAAAGCTGCTACATTATAAGCTTTAAAGCTTTTTAAAAAAACTTTAAAAAATAGCTTTATGTTATTAAGCAGTCTATTTTTACCTTAACTTCTGTTATAGTAGTAGGAACTAAGAACTTACTAGCCTTAAAGCTTACCTAGAAGTCTAGAGATAGCTTAACTCTCTTCTGCCTAACGCTGCCTACAACCTGTAACGTGTTTTATTAGTAAGCTGCGGACATTAGTAAGCTGCGCACCCTACTAAACTGCGCGCGCCTCTTTAACAGATAACTAAACAGCAACTAAATTAAACCTATATAAGTATATATATAAAATATTCCTAATTGCTTCTACATTAATTCCTTTTATAGCCTTATACATGGCACTTTAAGCAGGTTGGTGGTGCTTGTTAATATGCCCGCGATGCCTAAGCCTGCGCATCCACCTTAACTAACTTATTAGCCTCTGCAGCCAGCCTCTGACCTTCCTAGCCTGTGAGAGTCCCTCTTATAGCAATATACTGCTGTTGCTGTTGCTTCTTCTGCTCTTAGTAATAGTTAGCTTAACGCAGCTTAGTGTTCTTCTCTATAAAGATTATTGCTAAGTGCATTACTATCTAACATCTTTTAATAAGCTAAGCTATTGCCTAGCTAGTAGGGCTCTGCAATTAACAACTAAGGCAGTTATAGATTAGTTAAGCCTGCTGCTGCAGCTAAGCAACTGTATAAGGCGTCTCTGTAGTCTAGCACGTCTTACTGTTAGCTTCTTGCGCTAGTAGAGACAGTGTACAGACAACAGTAAGCAACAACAAGACGTAATTAGAACAGTGTAGGACTAAACCTGCTGCTTAAAAGCTGCTCTTAATTATCTGCTTTATAAATACTATAGGCCTAATATGCTTATAAATTCTAAGAAAGTCTTACTTGTTAATATAAAAGATCTAATTATAAGCAAGCTCTAACACCTAGTGTCTATACGCTTGCTTAAGAGGCGCAAAACAGCTAACATCTAGAGGCTGTAGGAGATAGAAGCTGTAAGCTAGCATATAGAGACTAATAATCTTCTTCTCTGTACAGTACTAATTAAACTTAGGCGTTGCATAGCTGCTGTGGCCATCTACTATAAGCAGGTAATAGATTCCTGCTGTACGCGTCCTTGTCTACTTGTTAAAGTGCTTAAGCTAGGCTAGGCTAAGGTAGTTAGTTGTCTAGCTGTTATTGCTTACTGCAAGCGTCTAGTTGCTAGGGATATTATAATACTAGCTAGCTTAGTAGAGCTTTCTATGTAAGATAATAAGCAGTAGGAGCAACTAGCTAGACGTGTTAATACACTTAATTATAGTAACCTAGTTATAATTACTAGGCTGTACAGTAACTGCTTAACTAATAGTCTTAGAGCTAGTAATAACCTTAGACATGCTAGCAACCCCTATTATAAATCCTGTCTTATTAAAATTGTAGGTATCCTTATCTAGTATCTTGTATGTCTAATGTGTGTCCTCTACTAGCTTAAACTAGGCTCTAAACTTGACTAGATCCTAACAGAGAGCGCGCTAGAAGTGTATCTTCCTGTCCTACTTTGTCTAAAGCTCTGCCTAGCTGTTAACAAAGCGCGATACCTAGCACTTGCCTACAGGCGTTAGTGGAGGATCTTAGTAATAAGCTTAAAGCAGAACGTTTGCTATTTAACGCACATTAATAATATAGGGTAGAAAGCTGCGTTAGTTAAGATCTAGAATCTAAGAGACAAGCAACTGCTCTTTAATAGGCAATAGCTTGCAGTTAACTAAGATTGTCTTGCGTTTTAGAAGGATACCACAGAGGCGCGTTTAGAGGGTGGATTCTAGTACGTTATAGGCTGCAGCAGCTGCACAAATTAATAGATAAGAGTTAGACTTAATTAAGACAAAAGCAAGCTAAAGTCTGCCTTCTTTTGCTAGAGATTAAGCTTGTGGTTATTAAGCTATAGTTAAAGGTGTGGACGCGGTTTCGCGCGGTTTGGTGGGGTGCGCAGCTTACTGATGTCCGCAGCTTACTGATAAAACACGTTAACTTTTTTAACTTAGTAATAAAATCTAACTAACTCTCTAATCCCCTGCTGTTTAATAGAAAATAAAAAGACCTACTTTCTTTCTTACATAAGCTTTAATATAAACTTAAAAAAAACATAGACTAATTCCCCTTTAAACACTTTTAGTTACTATATGCTTACTTTTAACTTAACTATAACATAACAGCCTTAATTAACTTACTAATAACATGGTCCACAAGCGAATGTTCAACACAAGCGAGTGTTCCGCCCCACCACCAAAACGCAGCCAACCTACTACTAACCGCGATGCATTAACAACTATACAATTAATTATCTTTAAAAGAGGCTAGAATTAACCTAGCTATTTAAGCTCTTAATAGAGACACGTCTTTAACTAAAAGGCGCACTGCAGCACTCTACAATGTTAATTAAATAGCTCTCTGCCAACAACGCGCAGGGATAACTATGCAACGCGACTGTACAGCTAACAACAAGAAGCTTATAAAGCTAGAAGAAAAGGTAATTATTAAGCATATACTTAATCTAGATTCCTAAGGATTTGCGCCTACTCTAGGTGCTGTACAAGAGATGGCTAACAAGCTTCTTACTAAGCGCAGCGCTCCACTAGTAGGTATTAACTAGCTATCTAACTTTGTTGCGCGTACACTAGCAGTTAAAACCTACCTTAGCTAACTATATAATTACTAATAAGCAAAATATAAAAATCTAGCAATTATAAGCAAGTAGTTTAAGCTTATAGAGGCTACATAATTAAAGTACAGCATTATAGATTAAAACACATATAATTTTAATAAGACAGGCTTTTAGATAGGGGTTATATTAAGCTAAATAGTTATTATAAGCACAGATAGACGTAATTAGCTAAAGGCTATACAGCTAGGCAACTATAAATAGGTGACAGTTATTGCAGGCATTAACGCAGATAGGTAGGCAATACCTCTGTACATAATCTTTAAAGGCAAGCATCACCTATCTGCCTAGTATAAGGATAAGAATATACTAAAGGACTAGGCTATTAGTGTTAGCAATAACAGCTAGACAACTAATAAACATAAAATTACATAGCTAGAGCACTTTAATCTGCATATAAAAGATTACTTAGTAGGCTTATAGTAGCTACTTATTTTTAATAGCTATAAGAGCTATTACTCTATTAAATTCCTAGAGCTCTGTAAGCAGAGGCGTATTATAGCGCTCTGTATGCCAGCACACGCGTCACATATTCTACAGCTGCTTAACGTTGGCTGCTTTTTACTGTTAAAGCGCGCATATAGTACTAAGATTAGCTAGTTAATCTGCTACTAAATTAACTATATTAACAAGCTAACTTTCTTACTAGCCTTTAAAGTAGCATTTAGTTGCTTAATTACAACAGATAATATCTGCGCAGGCTTTAGAGCTATAGGACTAGTTCTATTTAACCTAGAGCTAGTGCTCTTAAAGCTTAATATACAGCTACCTAATTAGCTAGCTACTCTACCACTAAATACTGCTTAGAAGGCTTAAACACCTAGCAATCTTTATAAGGTTAAGGCTTAGTTAACTCTACTATATAATTAAATTTAAAGGCATTAAAATTTTTTTTTTTTTACTATACTTAATCTAGCAAAGCAGCTAAGTAAGAGCGCTACTAAGATAGCTTATATTACTATTCTATAGCACAATTAAGCAGCTGCCCTAGAGAGGGCCTGTAAGGCAGCCACAAAGCGTAAGCAGCGTAAAAAAAAGTAAATTTAGAAAGAAGAAACTCTAACAGGTTATTAAGGCTCTAAGTTAAGTACTTAAAAGCTTACTAGTATAGCAGAAAGTAGCAAAATGCCTTAGGAGAAGTTAACTGCTAAAAGCAGCGCAGC